TCTTGACAGGAGCCGAGATCACAAAGCGCTTTCTTTTTCTCACCAGGAATCTAACAGCAGCTGTTATCTTTATCAAACCTTTGTTAACGGTTCCGATTATTGCCGATGACTGTAAAACATGGTCTAGAAGATCCGAAGTGATAGGGTTCAAATAATATCTTGTCGTATCTACGCCACGGTTCGTGATTGGCATCTAAGAAATTACACTGACATGTATTACGGCATTACCAGATCAGGACCAGTCATGGGGAAGACCAGTCCAGACCAGCGCAGCGTCTGATCTCACGGCAGCCTGAATGGCAGACGGCCACAGCAGAGGCGCAGTGGCCAGCCTCACCAGCGCCAGTGGCCAGCGACCTCAACCTCATCGGAGCTGGGCCGGCACTTTCCGGACTCCCAGCAGTCATTCCAGCAGCCGGCTACACGGGAGCTCGCGCATCGCCTGGTCCCAAGATAATCCAAAGGCGCTCAGATTTTTGCCGACAAAGACAGTGCAGAAAATAACTGGTGTTTCCTTCGTCAAGCGGCAATTACCACACGGTATTTGCAACCACAGAGTTCTCATTCATATCGATCACTCGGATTCGGAATATGAGAATAGTTGAACGATTTATCGGAGTTGGCAAACATTTAAATACGAAAACTAGCAACCGAACATGGATGCACAAGACCAGAAAATGCGAATCTTGCAAACTGCATTTTTTTATTTATAAATTTGGTCCGTACCCTTTGAATGGATGGATTTCTGGGATCAGCTCCCGCGCTAAGCAGTGCTTGCTGTGTGAGTCCTGACCCCCACCATCCGATCTCGCGATTCCAGGCAACGGCAGGATTTTGTGGCGAAAGCTTTACGTGCCGTAATGCTCGATACAGTCGGTCCTACCCTCTCACGTCAACTGACCTTTTTAGCGCGACCGCTGCCACCGGGCGCAGCCCATACCTGCCAATAGCAAATAGCGAGCGCCCTAAAGCGACTCGAACCCATCCCGCCACGGGTGGGTGGATCGGATTGCAGGCGCTCTAACCGAGCCACCGGGACGGACATATATATCGCCTATATATATATATATATATATATATATATATATATATATCGTGGAATAAATCGTATTGTACACATATCTGCGTTATCACCAAACACCCATCTCTGATGTGTCCATATACCCGTGCCTCTGACTTGGAGGCCGTTGGAAAAAGCAATGCAACTTATGTGTATCGCGCTTGTGGAAGTGTTCCCAATTGCATCAGGCATGCAGTCAACAAAATATGACAGGAGACAACTGACTAATTCGAAGCTTCTCTTGGAGCAGGACCCAGTGGTGGTCAGCTCCAGTTGCCAGCTGCCTCATCGTCACCAGTTCACCTCTATTCGGTGCAGGGACGCAGCCAGGGAGGGGCATAGGGTTGACAAAGGGGCCCCTGACAGTAAAAGGCCCCCCCCCCCCAAAGAAATCGCCAGATGTGGCCTATTTGGTATCGACGACATGTTTTCCGGGATATTTTATATACATATATATCGCACATTTTTACCTTTTATGACTGGAATATAGCCCAGGCACTATCGTGAGATCAATTGTGCATTAAGTTTACAATAAGTTAAGGGACGAAATGAAGTGTTCAATGACTGCGTGGAATAAATCGCATGTACTCTTCATTCCACATTGGTTCAGTGGACTTTTTAAACGGATGGAACTCAGATTTATTTGAATTTGTATCTGGGTTGTGCAGAAATAAGAAAGATTCTGCGAATATAGACTGACGATCAAAATGTTTCAACAAATTGTACAAGCATAGCCAGGCCATGCTTGTCTGGACATGTTCAACATACAGTCAGAATTGATTAATGTTATTTTGGGCATGCACGCTCGCATATTGTAGCAACACTAAACTCGACGTCAAGCGTGGCAGTCCCTTAGGCTGCGCAGCGTTGGCCCCGCAGCTAATATTAGGCCATGGCCAACAGATGAACGAAAATGATGATGCATCTGAAAGACTTACATATGAAGACTTTCATGGTGATGCATCTGAAAGAAATACCCTCGAAGGCTGTTGGACACCAAATCGTACTTCAAGCGATATTTCGGGGACATACCTCACCTGTGTGGTTTTTAGATCGATGACAACAGCGTATTGGTCTTCACAGCACCGCGAAGTGGTGCTGCAATTTGGTGGTGGAACTGGAAGAATAAGGCAAAGTCTCTATTTCCGTGTTGCTGTAACTGTTAATCTGCCCCCAGTACGACCTCAAAGTTATAGACAAAATTTCCCGGTGCAATCTTTGACCTGCTCAAATTACTAAAAAAAAAACACACTCAGAAACATTATTTTACGATGGTCATTGTTGCGCGCTCGGCGCGCGCCGTCCCACCGCGGTGTTTTCCGGCCGTCACTCTGGCGACACGGGGCGGCATCCCCTGGCCGATCCGAAAGCCCCTTGAGGGAAACATCATATCTTATTGATCCGCCCCCTCACGCGAGGAGCCTTCTTACCCGTGCAGTTGACCGCAGAAACCGTCCTTAACGCAAGGACCAGGGTCACTGAATACGACCTCGGGCCGGCCTTTCAGGACATCAAATTGGGCCCTTGATCGCCGGTTCCGAGGGGTCCTTCGGGCCTATCAGAACCTAAGAGGGAGGCACGTTCCCCTTGTGCCCCCTCCCTGCCTGCGCTACTGGTTCAGTAGTCAGCAGTCTGCCGGACCCATCGGCTGGCGTCGATCCCGGGGCGTTACCAAACCCAACAGCGGACTCAGCGCCCCTGCCGGCGAGGCAGCGCGGCGGGGGCCCGGCCGCCGCCATGGGCAGCTCAGGTGGCGGCGGAACACGAACCGACGCTGCGGCGGCTCGCACCGGGCCAGACAGCCGAGCCTACCCCTGCCGCCCTCGTGGTGCAGCCCGGGGAGGGCGCCAAACGACCAGGGAAGGCACCTCTGGTTCTCTGAACCCGAATACTTCTGACAGTGTCTCTGTCCGCCCCTCGCCATACACTAGTCACCAGTCGGCAGTGGTTTCCTCGGTGGCTCAGGCTCGCCCCTCCCCATCCGACCCCCCCCCCCCCCCTCCTCCGTGATCGACGCTGGCTGGTGCGTCTCAGGTGGCGTCACATGGTTTGGCGTCACATTTCGCTGGCATGCGGCCTCGACGCTGCAGGCCGAGACGACTTTCCGGACTTCAGGACCAGCACCGGTCGGCGGTTTAGAGCCTAGACGGACGCCCTCTGTGCGGGATTTAAGTCTAGAATCATACCAGGTCGTCCTGCTAATAGATTTTTCCTGCCGTCACTTGCCTTGGGATTCGCGGCTTATGCAACAGTGCCAAGGAAACACTCCGTATTGATCCAGTATAGATCCGGGACTCCCGGCATCAAAAGGACAGGGAACAGATGGCATGTCGAACGACGAGAGTCTGTAATAATACGAGATCCCAATCAAGACGTACAAGACGGACGCTAAAGAGAACGTCCATGTACAGGTGGTCCGTCACCACTGGGCCGTATTTACACGCTGGAACAGCCGGAGCCATGCAAGCTGCGATGTCCAGCACAAACCGCCGTGCCGGGACGATCAGGCGGAGTTCGGAGTGGAGCCAGGGAGAGTGGCCGGGTCCAGGCCCTTCGTCGCGTCCCAGATCTCGCACTCACCGCAGGGCACACAACTCATCACATATCTCGCTGTATTGCCACATGCACTGATATGTCCATCAGCCTCGGCCGATCGATGGGCCTGTACACACAGGCAGCCAACAGACCGAGGACACCGCGGGCCGGCTCTGCAGTAGCCACACCGCTGACGGAGTCAGGGGACAGTCACCGCATCCCCGCACCGCTGACGGGTCGCATGACCGTCACCGCACCGCTGACGGGGTCAGGGGACAGTCACTACACCGCTGACGGGGTCAGGGGACAGTCACCGCATCACCGCACCGCTGACGGGTCGCATGACCGTCACCGCACCGCTGACGGGGCCAGGGGACAGTCACCGCACCGCTGACGGGGCCAGGGGACAGTCACCGCACCGCTGACGGGGTCAGGGGACAGTCACCGCACCGCTGACGGGGTCAGGGGACAGTCACTACACCGCTGACGGGGTCAGGGGACAGTCACCGCACCGCTGACGGGGTCAGGGGTCAGTCGCCGCACCGCTGACGGGGTCAGGGGACAGTCACTGCACCGCTGACGGGGTCAGGGGACAGTCACCGCACCGCTGACGGGGTCAGGGGACAGTCACTACACCGCTGACGGAGTCAGGGGACGCGTCGCATGATCACCGGTCCGGTCGTCGGTGCGCCGACCGGCGCCAGTACAGAGCGCTGAGAGCGACGGAGGACGCCACAGACTGCGGGCACTCCTCGGCGGAGGACGCCACCGACTCCACACGGGAGGCCACGGGCCCCGGGGCCGGGGGAGTACATACATCCACATACAGCATGCGATACGGTCATCGCCCAGCATTGCACTGCGCCCAGGGAACGACATTCGCGACACGGCCTCAACAGTATGCCTGGGGCGACATGTTCAGGTCTCTCTCGCACGAGCACGGGGATTTATGGTTTGATGAGATTGACGAGGGCATGATTGGGGGCCGGCATTTCGTTCACAAAGCGTCACAAACTGTGTAAGCGGCAAAGCAGTATCAAGAAAGCACAGGTTTGCCATCTGGTAAGTATACTCGCGCACAACTACACGAAAACATTTCTCAAAATGAGATTCCACTCACTGCCATTATCACACATTGTCAATGTTAAGTATGTTCTACAACATAAGCAGGACGCGTGGAAGCCCTCAGTGGATGCGAGGACGACAGTGGACGTGTTGCGAGCCTGTCCACAGCCGTATCCCGCTCCACCGGCCCGTGTCCGGACTGATCGGGGGCCTCGAGCGCACTCACAGCTGAGGTTAGATTACAGACGCCCCTTCTCTGCGTTGGTCGGGAGCGGCCGCCTGCCACCCAGCGCGGCCCATCCCACCGGCGGTCCCCCCCCCCCCCCCCACTCCCTGCCCCTCACAGCAGCGGCGCCAGCAGCAGCAGCAGCAGCACCGCCAGCCAGCCGACCGGCGCGGTGCGGGGCGCTGCTGAGTGCAGAATGGCGTGCAGGCGGGCCACAGCCTCGTTCGGGTTCCCACGGGCCGACTGGAACCAGATCTGCATGCAGGGCTGGTCGTCCTCCGTGTACTTCCACGAGTGGTCCCAAACCTGCGGCACGGGCGGCGCTCACGACGGTACACTGCTGCCACCAGACTCACACCCGCCGCACGCGGTGTATTGGATGACAATGCTATTGCGGGGCCACGAAGCACCGTGTAACTGCAACGCCTGCAACACGAGGGATGCATGTAGCCGCTTACTTCTACCCACCGTGTCACATCTGCAACGGACACCCTCGCGCCCTCTCATCTTGTGTGATCACGCGCGATGCACGAACTGGTGGGAACGGGAAGGCCTAGGGGGGAGTGGACTGTCACTCTGAGTGTCGGTGACTGATGGCGCAGGGCAGATTTCAGGCCAGTGCATTTTCAAAAGCGAAACTGCGTTTGCGGCCGTTTTAACTTTACCCCAAAAGCGCGTACGACGGCGAATTTAGTTTCAGACTCACCCTATGCACGAATAGTCAGTGTGAGGGTATTTGCGTCATGGATATGACTTCCGAGTCGCGCGGAGCAACCTCCGACTGGTGGCGGAAGTTGTGGCGGTTGTTTTATGAAACTAACCCCCTACAGGATTCGCTCAGTGTTCAAGTCTTACCCAGAGCTGGAGACCTTCACGCTCGTTGCTCCGCGGTGTCTCGCCTGAATTGATCTATACCAAAGTGAAAAAAGCGACTGCGGAACGCGGTCAATATCAATTTGACGTTACAAATCGTCGTCCTCTGGTTTGCAAACCAAACAAAGTAAATATATGAGCTTCACTGAATCGATGAAAATCTTAACCAAACAATCACGCCTAAAATTGATTTGCTTACAGACCAACCGTTCGAACTGTGCACAGCATACGCCGCAGGTAACTAGAGTAGAGATGGGTGCCTCCCAACAACGCGCTACGTCCGACCCCATCACAACGCCACGGAAGTCACTCTCACTGCCCCGGTCTGAACACGCTCTGCCCATCTGACTGGGCCGATGCCGCGCTTCTGCGGGACGCCACCGGCCAGACCCCGTGTGGCTGTCCTCTCCGTGACCGGCTCAGCCCACACCATGCGCGCGCCCTCCGGCGGTCCGCCACCCACCGTCTCGCAGAAGCGCTGCGCGTTGCCGTACACCTCAGCGAAGGTGAAGCACTGGGCGCCGGCCGGGCAGTGGTTGGTGCCGTTCTTCCAGCGGAAGTTGCGCGACCAGTTGTCGGTGCAGGTGAAGTCGTGCTTGCAGTCCTCGTACCAGTCGATGCACTGGCTGGCGCACAGCGGCACCTTGAAGAAGCGCTCGTTGCGGATCTTCATGTCCACCTGACGCGCGCGGAGCGAGGGTCAGTGAGGCGGGGGAGCGAGGTGAGCACGGACAGGCTGGCAAGCAGCGCCCAGATGTGTCGCCGCACGTGGCAGACCCGCACGCTGCAAGTTTCCGGGCCGCACACCACGTGCAGAGGTCGGGCAATGTGAAGTCGCCGATTATTGGTGCGGAAACTGTCGAGCATTGGGACCGACTTCTCATATTTTGATTACTGTTTACGGCGTGCTGAACGCCCTCTAGCATGCCATAGTGCAAACAAACCGGTCGTTTGAATGAGAATTCGGCATCGCTATTTTTGGAGACAATCCAGACATGAATCCATTGGCCCAAACTGCGCGCCCGTCCATGGCCTTGAGCGCAGGGAGAACGGGAACAACCCCGACCCCTTACGGAACATAACATCACGCGGTTAACTGAAGTTGCATCACAACTGAAAGCATACACTTCACACGGCACTGATGTACCCTCCCAACCTTTGACCACCGGCAGAGACCCCGATGGCCGACATCAGTCCCCCGCGAGCCGACCGCTGTCGGCCGCCCGACCCACCTTCGCCACCCAGGGCCCGATGTTCGGCGAGCACTCGTGGAAGCACAAGTCGCGCACGAAGTGTCTGCGGCACTGCGCGGACATGCGCTTGCCCGGGCAGTGGTCGTACGAGAAGCCGTACAGGTTGCTGGTGTGCAGGTGGCGCGTGGTGTTGGCCGTGCAGCAGGCACGCTCCCTCCACGGCGTGCACTGCGGCGGGGACGGACGGCCGACCGGCCGGTGAGGCGCCGCGACAGGCTCGGTCGGTTCGCCTCAGGCAGAGACGAGCCACACTATAGAGGAGGATTTCTGACGTGGCAGTGGTGAGGAACAGAGCTGTGACAGAAGGCAGTCCTTACGTCAATAACAAACACGTTAGCACGTAGTCATTGTGGTCACTCATGACAAGCTGCCCATTTTTAAGATACACTTTTTGGCCGTTACTGAAGGTCAACTCGCTTGAAGCAACCATGCGAAACACTGGTCATCAAGCCCTGCTCGTTAAACGTTGTGTTACCATTGGCATACGAGGAGTGCCTGGCACGGCAGTGTCCTTTTTCCTCCCCATTCGCCGAGAGCGGGGCTTACCTCCTGGTGCAGCTGGTCCTCAGGGCCGGGACGCGTCTTATGGTGGCGGCCGTCCAGACACCAGTTCAGCATGGTGTCCAGGTTTGTGGTCAGCTGGCACAGCGCCACCGACAGGCCCGCCGCCACGAGCGCCACGCGCACCAGCATGGTGGCCTGCACAGACAACCGACGGCACAATCAGCTGACTGTCGGGGTCACGGCGGTGATCGAAGCACGCGCCGACGAGGCACGAACTAGCACCACACTGCATGACAAATCGAAATCAGTAAACGGTGGACACCCAGTGTTCAGCAGAGAAGGTAAGCGGGTAAAATGCGCGCAGAATTATTGCTGCTCGTTAGGCGAAATTTCCATAAAAAAATTCATATGGGCACTAATCGATGCGTTACACACCAGGCATAAATCATGCATTTGCACACACATGTACAATGTGTGGGTTCACGTGCATATATACTATAAGGAATGTCATTAACCAGCGTCTTTGATCAACGCTTCTGACAACCGAAACCTTGACGCGCACGGCGCAGTCAGCTGATGCAAGTTGCTGCTATGTCCGTCAGCGGTCATTTGTTGTTGTTCATTGGTGTTTTCGGGCGCGTCGACTGCAGTGGTCATTTTGCGCCCATAACTATGCTGTTACTTGATTAGTACGGTGTGAAAATCACTTGAAAATCAATTTCTTTTAAAAACCAAAAGGGCTGTTTGGGATCAAGAAAGGAGGAACTGTCACCGAGCACATCGTTAATCGTCAGGGTCGAAGATTGCGGACCAAAGTGACGTCGTCGTTTTTCGATGAGGCATGGACATGATATAATGACATGATGGACAGTGAGGACGGCACCACACCGCTGGCATAGGGGTCTGTCGGCTCCATGCAAGAGATGGCCATGGGTGGCATACGTATGCCCCCCCAAAACGCAGGCTGCTAGAACCTAACAGTGACGGGACAGGCCGGGACGGAAACGAAACGTGTACCTCAAGTACCGATATTTACGAAGAATAACGGGAAGAATGACATTCGATAACGCATAAATAACAGCACCGAGATGTTCAATCCAAAATGCAGTGTAGTCCTTTGCCCAGCTGTACAAAACAAATATTGTAAAGGTGTTAAAGTAGCGGGTAAACGAACGGTACTTTAACGCGACCGATCTGGGATGCCACACGGGAACACCCTGAGGGAGGCGGTATGTCTGTCTCCCACTCACAACACGCGACCAATCTCGGATGCCACACCGGAAACACCCTGAGGGATGCGGTACGTCTGTCTCCCACTCACAACACGCCGTAGCGTCCAGATAATGGGACCGGTGCATACCGGAGTGGGCACGACTTATCAGATTAAACGTGCACTGGCCATTGAGAAGTAAAGTAAAGGCGCATCGATAAAAGTGTAAAATAAACGAGCCTGAGCAACGAAGCCTCAGCGATAGAAATGTTGGTGCAACATACATTCTCACATTGTTGCGAAAGCATTCCAGATTTTTGGTCATCAGCTGGCACCATGTGTATCAGGGGCGGGCACAGGGACAAAGCCGACATCGGGATCAGATTCGCGAAGCTGCACTTTGCCTCCGATGGCTTCGGGTTCGGCTTCTGCTTAAAGCCGTTGAAATGGCTGGCTTCTGACTGGGCTTCGGCTTCGTCCATGTTAACTGGCTTCCATTTGACCTTGAATAGTTCTCAAATGGCTCCGAGTTCGGCTTCATGCTATGTCTAACTTCTGGCTTCAGCATTGTCATAATAGTTACAGTTCTGCTTCACAAAAACGGTGTTCTCGATCCTATCCATATAAAGTGTTCTTGGTGACATGATACAGGGAAGGTATTGTTTGCTGCACTGGATTTTCTAGGTTCAAACTACAGATTGCTTCCAGGCTATTTGTACGTATTTCCCACACTATGATACAGCACATCATATACAATGTCTGAATGACTCATCATGCAATGAGCCAGACCTGAATCCGATCTTCGATTTCGCTAGCTCCGCGAGTCATGAGCCAAATGATTCAAAGAAAGCGATGAGTCCGAACAGAGCGGATTTTGTGATGAAACGGCCATGAGCCATGAGCCGAGATGGATCCCAAAATATGTGACCCGATCCTCAGCCGGTTCGAAAAATTTGAGTCCAACGCAAGTCAGCAACACCACTATCTCTCGGCCCCAATACACTCAACAATAGTATGGGAGACCGGCACAGCGAGACCAACTCCCATTCAACCCCACCTGGCGGGTCCATACACCCCCAGTGCAGAATCGTGGGCTCCTTACCATTAGGCCGCCCGGCAGGTTATGACGGGAACAAAGGAGAGCACCCCAAGGGGAGGGGGCATCGGCTGCTGGTCAAGAACCACAAGACCCTTCAGCCAACTCCAGTGGCTCGAAGGGTCGGGACGGACGGTAAGTGCGCTCACCTGGTCAGCCGGGAGACAAGGCCCGACTGACCCCGTCCACGCCACAGCCCTGACCTAGGCTCCGGCCTCTCCCCCCCCCCCCCCCCAACATCTACCTCTGACTAGCCCGATGTTGAGGTCTGTCACGTGACTCGCGTGACCGGAGGTTCACCAGCACGCCGCACCGGTGGCCGCAATGCGGGCGCGAAGAGCAGCGCAAAGCGGGGCGCGAGCCGCAGGCACGTTGAACGCGCACGGACGCTGCACCGCAATCGGGTGGAACAATGCTAACACACGAGACGAGGATGGTGACCCGAAAAATCTCCCATTGGGATTGCTGTCAGGTCACGCTCACTCCGCAGAATCCTGTTTGCATCTTCCGATTCCACGCAGTTAAACCAGACAAAAACCCAATTTTGATTTCAGAGAACGGCGTTGTTCACTAGATTCGGACTCGGCTTCCGCCTTTTATTTCAAATATATGGGCTCAACCAGAGCTCGCGTTCCCTTTGTTCGAAGCCAATGACGTCAAGCTTCCGTTTCGCAAGCGGAAAGTTCAAGGTCACTGGCTTTGCATTCTGGCTCACTTTGCAAAAATCTGAGGCTTCTGCTTCACAGTGCCATGTTTCAAAGCCACCGACTTCAATTTCAACTCCAGCTTCATATTTTGTCTTGCCTTAAAGTTTGGCTTTGAAGCCAGATGCCTAGTTTCATCCTGATGTCTTCTCAGTGGTGTGAGCATGAATATATATATATATATATATATATATATATATATATATATATATATATATATATATATATATAGTGATTTGTTGGATAAGAACTTTTGGCACATCAAGTTGTGCTGGTATCTTGTGACCAATCTTGGTGCTCTCCTTCAGTTGAAGTCAACCAATCTAAGTGTTCTCCTTCAGTTGAAGTCCTTTTATACTAAACATTTTGGCCTTAATGTGAGGAACTTGCACCACATCTTTGAAGCAAGGCATCATGCCCCAGAACAAACATCCAATGTATTTCAAGTAGCTTTGCCACAGAGCTAATGCACTCACCCATACAGGTGAGTGAACTTTCCACTGCCAATGAAGAATCAGTCCTGTTAACATTAAGTGATCAAATCACTTCCTTGGTTGCTCTATCAGCTGGGAATCCTGTTGTTGGAGGCAGCTATCTGGTACATAAACCCATGCAACTAGATATTTATATATGGTACCTACAGGTATGAGGCAATATGTCACACATCACTATGTGGAGCACCTTTTGATACACATATTATGGTGACTGGTTCAAAACATGACCAACATCAGAAATAGAACACCAGAGTACAAGCTGGTCATACAATGAGCAGCATTCATCATGCAACATGTATTAATAATATCTACAAGCAATGTTCATCCATCATATTAATCCATGCTGCCCCATCAGAACAAGACTGTGTATTTAACAATTTAATGGGAGTAAACAACTTCAGCAAAAATTAGAAGAGCAAATATATGATGTCATCCTCAAAGGCAAAATAAGTATCATGCCATAGCATATACTAGCAATGTCTTCTTAAATATGCTGGTGAATACTTAACCCCATTCACCAAGGTCATGAACCAGTCCAAAATCACACTGAAGGTACTAGAACTGCAGTGGCAAAGTTGTGTGTCTGAGAAACCAGGGGCACAGGGTTTGGTTCCTCATTATGCTCATCCTCCTTGCCAGGGAGCAAGACAGGTCATGCCATACAGCCTCAGCAGTACATCACAAACCACCAATAATACACACAATAGGTGACACCCATTGCTGACTGGCTGAAAATTGGCTAGACATGTTAACTTGTTCATATGTGACATAAATGTGACAAATGAATGCAATATTCTTTCTTTGTACTATTCTGACACTAATACCTGTTTATTAATGGTACTGGAGAGTAAACCAGATCCCATGTTCCAATCCTAACGGGTATGATCACCTATGAGTTTAAATGCCACCGTTAAATCAACTAGCAAAGAGGTATCTTTACGTGTCATGCTCACACTACGCTGCATGCAAGAATATCCCTGAGAGCCGCGTGGCCAAAAATGGACGGGTATCCCCTGCCTACCATTCTTCGCACGTACCAACCGTTCTGCGCGCCCCAACCATCCACCCAGTAGCCTCCAAATGCCGCTGAGGTTTTTTGCTTTCCACTGCTTTGATAAGTGTCGCTTACAGTTGTATTTCCTGCGTCATATTGAGTATTAATGAGTAAGATAATATGGCAGCTTTTAAGATGAATTATATGTCGTCATCAAAGAGCGTCCGATAGAACGTATTTGCTTTTCACTAGCCTCCATTACCTGTTTCTGACTAAATTGTCCACTGAGACCATTTTGAATCAAATTCTTAAACCTTTCATCTTTTGACTTCACGTGAATTTAACACTCAACTTCAAAATGTCTTGTACTATTTCAGCGAAAACGTCATAATTATGCCAGATATACATGACCTTGAGCATATCCTCCAGCCTGTATTACGCTCTCACGTTGTGATATTTGCCCTATGCCCACGCTCGTGCGGTCAGGTACCGCCCCCTTTTGGCAAGCGACTCCGGTGAAGGTGGAAGATGGCTGCGCTGGTCGCTGCAGTCGCACGGCGTCAATCTTTCCGTGCATTTGGGCTAAGTCGTCGCGTTTTGTTAAGAAACATGAGCAGCTCATATCTGGTCGACAGCGACGATTCCAAGTATGCATTTTTGAAAGACCTTGGTCTGCAAACTGTGAATGATGGAGTGTACAACGGAAAATGGGGAGGCCGAGGCGAGGTAAGATGAAATGCATGGCACTTTTTTTGTTTTCGTGTAATGGCCTTAAGCTAGCTTAAACATAATTTTAGCTTTCTTATCACCTCTTGAGAAATACAGGCTGGTGTGAGTAGGTTGTTGTCCAAATCATTGCAAACACAATTTTATGACAGTATTCTGATAATGGTGTGAAGTCCTTCAAGTGCTTAATGTGTTAACAGTAATCCAGGCACTATCATGTGGTAGTACTGGTGCTGTTACACACTATTGAGTAATAATGCAGGGGGACAACATTTCCAATGAGTGCTGACAATTTCACATGCCAGCACAGTTGCTTGACTGGGCATCAGATATCAATGATTATTGCAGACATGTGCATTGGTCTGAGGGTTGGATCTAGGGTTCCTCAAGGGTTTATGCCTACTGGGTCCTGGCATCTTTTTGTGCCTCTGTAGACATGTTTGCAAGGATCCTGTGAACATGCATTTCAGGTTATGTTCTCAAAGTTGTTCATGATGCATTCACTGTCATGTTAAACAAGTAAGCCATGATGGGCTTTCAAGTTGATTAGTCCTTTTTGACACTGCTGTCATGAATTTGATTGCAAGCATGCAAGTTGGCATCATTATCAGCCACCCACATGACTGGAAAGTGAGATATTAGCCCTGTTGTGTTGCATGGAAAGAATGAGATGAAATGATGTCACCCAGCCTTCCATGGTCTGTCAAGGCTGGAACTCAGTGTGGAGATACCCAGTGCTAAGTAACTTTGAGATGTATTTGCTATTTAAGGGGCAGTAATTATATTAATCATTATGATTTAGCTGCATATTGGAGTCATGGGTTCTGTCCTGGGTCAGATGTCAGAGACCTGAGTGTTATTAGATATAGCTTTGGAGGACTGTAGCCATTGCACAGAAACTTTAAGGAGCTGAGTAAAAACAGCTATGATTTTTTTGTGTATAAAATGTGGGGCTCTCTAATACATTTGACACCTATGCCCCATTTCTCAAGGCTTCATTTCTCATGTTGTGTGTTGTGGTGCTAGACAAGACATATTTGTCATAACTTGTATTATATAAATAATAATTTTTTGGGTAAGTGCATTGACATTAAATTAAATCCCTAGTGTTCCCTGTTCTTTCAAAAAATTAATCAGGTCATGAATACATACTATAGGACTTTGATGACCTATGGGCAAAAATGATGCTATTGTAATGAGATCTTACATGGTTCCCATTTCCTAAAGAAAATTGACAGGTTTTCTTAAAATTTTGTATCCTATACAATTATTATGGAATCCTTTAGGATGTCCTATGTCCCACACTTTTTTACATGGGCATCATTTATGTATTGGTATGTGCTTCATGACAATATCTCCAAAAGTGGGTAGATCATGGTCTACCATTCATTCTGCCCCTACATGTTTGGCCAATTGTAGCATGAGGGTAGTGCCATAGCATAGTCAAGCAGCATCAAGTTGTTTCAAAGGCCCAGCTGGACAGCATCCTGCAGCATCCTCAGAGCATCCTGAAACTCTCTTCTGCATGTATGCAGTCAGTTAATGAAGTGGCATCAGTCTCAAATTGTATGCCGAAAGTGTGACGTGTTATAACGTCCCTGCGGCGGACGCGTCGCAGGCGCCGGCCCGCAGCCCGCCATCGAGCCGGCGCCGGATGCGCGGCCGTCCAGCGCGCGGAGACGCGGGCCACGTGGTCCGCGTAGGTCACCGATGGGCGGCCGGCGCCGCGTCTGGTGAGGCTGGCGTTGCGGAGCGGCGCACACAGGCGAGCGGCCATGGCGGTGCAGGAAAGGCGGGCAAGCGGTACTGAACGGGGACAGGAGGCGTAATTCCGGGACATTTGAACTCCAACGGTCAGACATCAGCTGCACACTGACCCTCCATATGCCCGTCCCGGAGCCGCTCCTGTCCGATGGACGTCTAGCCCGCGGCGTAGGTGCAGGATGCGGATAGTTGTTAGCCCCTACGCTTGGATGTACACGAGCGCGGGCATTGCCTTGCAGGGGGAGTAGCAACACTGAGGCTTTGGCTCCCCTCGACAGCTGGGAAAACTTGCTGCCAGACCCATGATGGTGCATGAAGGGGATGAATCTCCGGCCTATGCTTGGATACGCCCCTGCCACGTCTGCCGGGCCGGTCGGAGTGTTTATACTCATATGCTGACAGCTGATACGCCTGTCGCCAGCCGGGCCGCATACTTTTCCAAGATTCTGCCCAATGATATCAAGCGCCGTGGTGATTATTAGTGGTGGGCAACTTCATGCTGTAGCATGAAATGAGAGTTCAAGTAATATTCAGCTATGGTAAAAATCATATGGCGCGATCTTAAGCCACAGAGAACCAACTACGCGGCAGTCTGCCAAGCTTGTTGTCAGTTGACAGCAGATGGTTTTTGTGGTTACGGGCTCATGATGTGGGTTGCAGACTCGCTGAAACCCTGGGATGTCGTCGTGTGGAAAACTGGAGCCGACTGGTTCGCAGTTGAGACGTGTCTGAAGCGGCCGCGTCTGCGTGCTCTGACGTTTACATTATGCATCTGCGACAGTGGCTGGGGAGAAGGGCGGCTGCGAATCATCTTGCCTATCTGGTAGCCTAACTATGGCGCACCCCACGCCGGACGCTCCCCCCCCCCACGCCCCTTCCCTGCAACCCCCCCCCCCCCCCCCCGGCATGGAGAACGCACCCAGCTGTGAAATGGTAAGGCAAATTGTAACGGTGAGTTCGATGAAATGGTGCAGGGGAGCCACCATTGTGGCCTCGATAAAGTGCTTCAAAACTGACGTGCCAGAAGCGCAGTCAGTCGCGTCGCACTCCACCTCCCCAGCAGCTGCCTGCGGCCGCGCTACGAGACATGGCGCGCTCCCATGGCGTCCTATTTATAAGCTCGGACGCGTCGACGCTGGCGAGCGGCCAGCGGGGCTCACTGACCCGCCCCTCCCCTCCGTTCCCCCAGATCGTGACGTCCATCTGCCCGGCCAATAACCGGCCGATCGCCCAAGTGCGTACGGCCAGCGCCGAGGACTACCAGGAGACGGTGGAGGCGGCGCGCGCCGCCTGGCGCACCTGGGCCGACGTGCCGGCGCCCAAGCGGGGCGAAGTGGTGCGCCAGGTGGGCGACGCGCTGCGCCGCTACCTCGACCCGCTCGGCCGGCTCGTCTCCATCGAGATGGGTACAGTGCCGGGAAGGGGGGGGGGGGGGGAGAGTCCCTGGGTCCGGCTGACTGGCCAGGCGGATGGCGCTGATGTACGGTCGCGGCCGGTGAGAGATGATGCGTGGGAAATCGCTGACCTGGCGACATTGGTGGCGAATGCTGTGATAAGGGAGGGTGATGCACTGTTTGTAGCACTGTTGTGTATTGAGGGGACAGGTGGTGTAGTGGTTAACCTGGACGTTTGGGAAATCAGGTATACGTGGTTCGGTTTCCTTCAGTGCCCGCCCTCCCTGCCGGAGTTAAAGGCAGGTGACGTCATGAAGCATCACCGGCTGAGTGCATCGTAGAACCCCGATGCTTCTAAACAACGTTTGAGTGCTGAGGCCAGACTTGTCTGGTCCGACAGGCAAGATCGTGCCGGAGGGCATCGGCGAGGTGCAGGAGTACGTGGACATCTGCGACTACGCCGTCGGTCTGTCGCGCATGTTCGAGGGCAAGGTGATCCCGTCCGAGCGGCCGAACCACGCTCTGCTCGAGTGCTACAACCCGCTGGGCGTGGTCGGCGTCATCTCGGCCTTCAACTTCCCCTGCGCCGTGTACGGCTGGAACAGCGCCATCGCCATGGTAACCATACCTTGACGGCTGCGGGTGGGCGATGGCATGTGAGGGCTAGAGGGTGGGGACAGCATATGGTACCTCCGGTGGGACGGCTGTACGTGTATCGCACGCGGCAATTCTCTGGCTTCGTTTCTAAGAATGCGCACGATGCAAAGACCGAATGCAAAGCCCCATATTCGACAAAGCCTGGATGTGATGATCGTCTATGTACCTGTAACGTCCACGTCCAGCGGCAGCGTCAGACGCGCTACCCGTGCGTGTGAGTGCATGCTCAGCCGCCTGCCTGCGGCTGACGCGCCTGCCCCCACCACTCGGTGTTAGCCCTGACGCGACTCGGCGCCGCCGGCAGACGTGCGGCAACGCCGTGATGTGGAAGGGCGCGCCAACCACGCCGCTCATCTCCGTGGCCGTCACGCGCATCGTGTCGCGCGTGCTGGAGAGCAACGGCCTGCCGGGCGCCGTCTGCTCGCTGGTGCAGGGCGGCACCGAGATCGGCAAGCTGATGGCGGCCGACGAGCGCGTCAACCTGCTCTCCTTCACCGGCAGCACCGCCGTCGGACGTCAGGTGGGGGCCTGATCGCGCGGACGCCGCCGTCCGCCGGCGGCAGAGCTGAGGTTCAGGCCGGACCGGCCGGCAGATCGACAGAAGCGCCTGATCTTCTTATGCACTGTGTCTCTTGCTCGCGGATCGCAGTCGTGTTCCGTTCGCGTGGGCTGCCTTGTTCCGCCAGTGCGGTGTCTGCTCAGCTGGTGACCTATCGTCAGCCTGTCACACTTGTGTCTTCGCCCCGGCCGACAGGTGGCGCTGGACGTGCAGGCGCGCTTCGGCCGCTTCCTGCTCGAGCTGGGCGGCAATAACGCGCTGCTGGTGGACGCCGACGCGGACGTGACGATGGTGGTGCGCGCGGCGCTGTTCGCCTGCGTAGGTACGGCCGGCCAGCGCTGCACCACCACCCGACGGCTGGTGCTGCACGAGGCCGTGCATGACCAGGTGGTGGCCGGCCTGGTGAAGGCGTACGCCCAGGTACGCATCGGCGACCCGCTGGACGACGGCACGCTGTACGGGCCCATGCACTCGCGCCAGGGCATCGAGGCCTACCAGCAGGCGGTGGCCGAGGCGGTGCAGCAGGGCGGCAAGGTGGAGTACGGTGGCAAGGTGAGCGGCGCGCGCCTCGAGACTGGTCACCGGCGGGCCGGGCCCTCACCCGTGCAACAGAACAGGCCACAGTGGCGGCAGCAGTGACGACAGTGGTGCTTTACTGCAGTGTCAGCCGTAGTGTTAAGCGATGTTTCACTGCTTGTGGCATCGTTGACTCGATTGTACTTTCAATCCAATGCCTGAAATAATCACGAGTTCAGTTTTTTCGGAGTCACGCTACCGTCCCAGGTACGAGCAGCCGAGATGCCCTTCAATCTCAGCCCGATGATGATGTGCACGCCGTGTGATCCGTGCCGTCCGGTGGCGCTCGCAGGTGCTGGAGCGGGAGGGCAACTACGTGGAGCCGACCATCATCACCGGTCTGGCGCACGACGCGCCCGTCGTGCAGCGCGAGACGTTCGCGCCCATCGTGTACGTGCTCAAGACCAAGTCGATGGACGAGGCCATGCAGTGGAACAACGAGGTCAAGCAGGGCCTCACCAGTGCATTGTTCACGAAGGACCTTGGTACCATCTTCAAGGTACGGCTCGAGCTTGGTGGAGTTAGCCACTGTGTGTCCGTACGCCCGGGGAGGGGGGAGGGGGGGGGGGGGGGGTACTGCTACCGAACGAGCTTCTTGACTTGGGATGTTTATGATGAGATTGTTGTTTATCACAAAAGCCAGCCGGTTTTCAACCTAACGCATGCAAGGGAACATAAGTGCCGCGCCTGACGTTCGATGAGTGCTGTGAAAATGGATGCCGAGACTCTCGTTACATACTGGCTTGTTGCAAAGCCATTTTGAAGTCCCAAATCCGTTCATATTTAACGCAAACATTTTACGACGTAAATGGCTAACTTTTTTCTAAGTTTGTGACTGGAGCCAAAATAGCAGGCTCTAATAAAAAGCCTCGCAACATTTTACCGAGCCAAAACATTATAATTCGTGGAGGCTAAGCTCTGCATCGGTGAAACGTTTGCCATCCCGCCCTCGCCGTACTGTGCCGCCTGCTGGTCCGGCGACCGAAGCGTCCCTGACGTCCCTAAGCGACGTCTGGGATGTCTCTAACGCCCCTGAGTGGCTTCCGGGGCGTCCCTGACGTTCCCGGGCGGCGACCGAAGCGTCCCTGACGCCCCTTAGTGGCGTCAGGGGCGTCTCTGACGTTCCCGAGCGACGGCCGGGCCGTCCCTGAGCGGCGGTCCGATGGCTGACCGTGACCCGCCCCCCGACAGTGGCTCGGCCCCAAGGGCTCCGACTGCGGCATCGTCAACGTCAACATCCCGACGTCGGGCGCCGAGATCGGCGGCGCGTTCGGCGGCGAGAAGCACACGGGCGGCGGCCGCGAGTCCGGCTCCGACGCCTGGAAACAGTACATGCGCCGCTCCACGTGCACCATCAACTACGGCTCCGAGCTGCCGCTGGCGCAGGGCATCAAGTTCGAGTGACGCGTCGGGCCGTCGTTGCTGGGGATGGGGCACGCGCCGCCCGCGGCCGTCACCGACCGTTTTGTATCGACTCAAGGAGAATTATGTCGGGTAAGGAGCTTTTGTAACGCAGGTGCTGTGGAAGGGTGCTTTGTCCGGCACGCCACGACATTAGTATTTTTGCAACGTTTTCGCCAGGTTTTTGCCGTTGCATTTCGAACGTGACGCATGAGGACGCGCGATCGGTCAGATCTGAGCATTATGTACAGCCGATTGCGTGGTGGCTGAGGGGTATCTTCATGGGCCCAGAGAAGCGTGAGCCCCTCCGAGTCAGCTAGCCCGACACCAGGTGGGTGCCGGGAATTGTATCACAAGTCACGTGCCATGCACTCGATGCAACTGTGGAAGAAATAAACTTTAATACGTGCCGTTAGCGTATTGGGTCCCGGGCTGCATTCACATGCGTCATCGGGAGACAACAGTCGTCAACAGATTTGACAGAATTTTGCAGCTTCCTGCAATCCACAACGGCACGATGTTCGCGCTACCACAACGCCTACGTCTGTTTTACCCTGCTAGGCCACGCGGCAGCTGAGGTAGGCTGTTAGCACCAGTTGGCTGGCAGTGTCGCAGTTGGCTGGCAGTAAGCCGCAGCGTCACGACACGCCCCCGCCCCGCGAACCGGGGCTTCGTACCGACGTCTGGCTCGACCCGAACAGGCTGGCGCGGGGAGGGACCGCGCGCTGGAAGCGATGCCCCGACCGGAAACAATGCGTCTTGATAGCCGACGGTCCTGCAGCGCGCCTACGGGGTCAAGTGAGGTCAAGTCGAGACCGCCGCGCTACAAACAAGCCGCTGCAGTGAAGTGGTCTTGTGTGTCCGTGGCGAACGTTCAAAAACAAGATCGGTTTGTGTCTGTATTACGATAAATATAACTGGCTAGTAAATGACTGTTACAAGCCGTCGGACCAACACATCGTGAAAATTTCACAACATAATGTCATTGGGAGGCCGTCGTATGGGTGGCAGCGCCCGACACTGCTGCCGGCTGTTGAGGCGCCTGCCGACGATGTCCAACACTGGCGGCCGTCACAGCTGCCCGCCCCCGCCGGCGTCTGGCACAGCTGTCGTGATGCTGCCACAGCTGTCCGACAGGCGGCCAGTGCCCGACAGGGGCCGCCGGCGCTCATGCAGGCGGAGCAGAGCCTACCCACCACGCAGTGGCACAATCTCAGGCAGAACCCGCACGTTTCTAAATCTCGCCGCCCCGGTACGGGACGGTGATCGCGATCACAGCTGCACCCAGCCCACGGCCCTCCTAGCTCAGCTCAAAGCCCGCCTCCGATTCGATAGCGTAACAGAGTTTGCCGCGCAGCGTGTCGGCGTCCTCGTACTCCGGCAGCTTCAGCAGGTTCATGCAGGTGCTGGCCGACGGCAGGCGGTCGGCGTCGTCGGCGCCCGCCGAGTGGATGCAGAACGGCGGGTACAGTTCGCGGAAGCCAAGCAGCGGCGGCCGCGAACACGACGTGACGAACTTGAGCAGCTGCGTCTTCTGGCGGTCGGAGAGCTCGGCAGCCACGCGCCAGAACATCTCCACCACCGGGTGGTCGTCGGCGTAGCCGCCCGAGTACTTGGTGTGCGCGCGCAGGTCGGCCACGTCCACCGGGATGGGCGCGCCCGAGATGAGCGTCTGCAGCTCGCGGTGGTCGAACAGGCGCAGCCACTCGATCGGAATGACGTCGGCCAGGCCGAGCCGCAGCGCGGCGCACTGCCGCTGGATCTGCCGGTTCAACTTGAAGTCAGCCACCAGGTGCACGTACTCGATGTGGTTGGCCGAGGTGACGGCGATGCCGGCGCCGCCCGGCTTCAGCTCCTCGACACGGCTCTCGCCCAGCTCAGCCACGTTCACCGTGAAGTCGAGCCCCAGCTCGGTCACGTCGCCCTCGTAGCTGCTCAGGTACAGCAGGTTCTTGTACATCACCGGATCGAGAGAGTCCAAGTAGTGAATGTCGACGCTGTCCGACTGGCGACCCAACAGCTTGGTGAGGAAGAACGCAGCCAGCGGCAGCTCCACCAGCATCTGCTCATAGATGGCCTTGCCCAGCACGCGGCCGATGAAGAAGTAGTGGTCGGCCGGCCGCTCCACCAGCAGGTGCACCTGCGGGCTCGGGTACAGCTGGTTGTTGTTGGTGATGCGGAAGAATCCCCGATTAGGATCGAACGCCGTCTTGAGCAGCTCTGAAAGAAATTCGCGGAAGATGCCGCCACCGTCAATGCCCGCCTCGTCCAGACCCTTGGCGTTCACCATCTTGACGCGCATGCGCGGCTTCAGCGACGGCTCGTTGTCGGGCGAAAGCTTCTCGAACGCGTCCTCGTAGATGTAGTTTCTGCGGATGTTGACGCTGATGCTGGTGCCGGCGTTGGACATGAAGTGGTCCAGGTCGGACTGGCTGTTCTGCTTGTCCTGCCGGATCAGCTCCTGAAACAGCTGCACGCGCTGCGGGAAGCTGAAGACGAACGGCAGTTGGCGCAGCAGCAACATCATGCGCACGTCACGCGAGCTGAGCACGGGGATGCCAGCCTCCAGCTCATCGCGCGAGTAGCGGATCGGCCCGGCGAACGGCTGGAACGCCTGCAGGTCGGCCTTGAAGAGCGCCACCACCTCAGGGATGCGCTCGGCGGTGAGCGGCTGCGTGCGCGCCGACCAGTGGCCGGCCGGGCAGAAGCCGAGTCGCGAGTCACGCGACTGCAGCTGCCAGAGCAGCGCGTTGACGCTGCGCAGCAGGCCGGTCCACTGCGCCGCCGCGTCGTCGGCGGCCGGCCGCGCCGGCGACACGCCCACGCTCTGCAGCGCCGAGCGGTAGGCGGGCGACACGGTTGGCTGCAGGTCCGGGTAGGCCAGTTGCACTAGGCCCAGGTAGACGTCACGCAGCGTGGCCGACATGGCCACCAGCTGCGCCACCGGGAAGAGCGGCTCGTCGCCCACCAGCTCGGCGTCGTGCAACGTCACCAGCATGTGCGCGAACAGTGCGCAGAAGGCGGCCAGCGGCGGCACCAGCCGGTCGCGGTCGCCGGCCAGCGGCTCGACGCCGCGCGCCAGCGTCTGCAGCAGCGACCGGTCGTCGCCGAAGAGCGACGCTTGCGAGCAACGCTCCACGGCCGCCCAGAGGCGCCGCAGGAAGCGCTTGGAGAAGGCCAGCGTGTACAGCAGCCGGTACTTGTGCATGGCGAGTCGCTCGCGGCTGATCAGGTGGTAGCAGATACCGCAGAGCGCGCGCACGGCGCCCGACTCGGGCCCGGCGTCGTCCACCAGCCGGCAGAGGGCCCGCACGTGCTCAGGCTGGTCGAGCGCGTCCAATGCCTCCCGCAGCGTGACGTTCTCCTGACGCTCCTCAGCCGTCTCCTCAGCCTCCATCTCGTCGCCCGAGTCGTCGTCGGCGTCCGGGGTCGCCTCGCGCGGCCGCAGGTGAGCCGACGCCCAGTCCAGCAGCTCCAGGTATAGCAGGCGCACGTCGGCCGGCTGCGCGTCTAGCACATCCCTGCCGAGCGTCAGCAGCGAGAACAGCAGCCAGGTGGACGGCGGTAGGCGCGCGCGCCGCTGCGCCACCACGGACAGGCAGCGTGCCAGGGGAAACCGGCCGCCGGCGGCCAGCGCCGGCAGCAGCCAGTGGCGGACCTGCGATGAGAAGCGTGGCTGCAGGAAGCAGGTGGCGAAGGCGGTCAGCACGAGGTCCGAGAGCGGGCCTGGCTGGCCGGCCAGCTGCAGCGGCCGCTCCAGCAGCTGCAGCACGGCGGCTGCCTGTGGCACCGGCGCCTGCGCCGCGTCCTCGTCCAGCGGCGGCACGCGCGCCTCCAGCAGCGCGCGCACGTGGCCGAAGTAGCCGCGCGACACCAGGTGCTGCAGGTGCGTGGCGGCGGCCGGCCCGGCCAGCGCCACCTCCAGCAGCCGCTGCGGCACCGCCAGTCGCCGGCCGGCCGGCCCGCTCAGGCTGCGCGCGCAAAACAGCAGCAGCCGGCTGAGGGGAAACGAGCCGTCCAGCGCGTGGCGCAGTGGCGCGTGGCGTAGCAGCAGCTGGCAGAGCGCCACCAACCGCGTCCAGTCGGCCTCGTCGTCGGCACGGTAGAACCAGCAGAGCCGTGCCGCCAGTCGCCGCACCAGCTCGACGTCCGGCGGCTCGGGCGGCGCCGCCGCCGCGCCACCACACGTCCACAGTGCGTCGTACTCGTCGCGCAGCTGGCGCCGCAGACTGGCGCGGCGCAGGCAGCCGCGCACGAATGCCTGCAGCTGGAGGGCGCAGCGCTGGTGCAGCTCGGCCTGGCGGCGCCGGCTGCGTTCCTGCTGCGCCCGCTGGATGGCCTCCTCGCGCCGCTCGGTGCCGCTGCTGCCGCCCAGCCGTACTTGCGGCCGCCGTCGAAACTCACCCTCGAAGCTGTACATGGCGTCCGCCGCCGGGCACACGCTGAAACCAAGCAGACACAACGGTTAGCGCCGAGCGCCCCGTGCGGCGCAGCGTGATGCAGCAACATGGTGGCAGCAGAGTGCAACATACCACGATTTAACCGGTTCTTGGAAAGTGAAGTGACCTACCACGCTGGATCTGATTTTGGGGAGGACGCACGGGAAGGCAAAGAGATCTCACTTAGCACTGGGCGCTCAGAGATGCCTAGGTTTGCATGCTTGCATTGCCACAGACAGCTTTCATATCATCGCGTGTGCATGTGGCCACAAGGGAAGGCACTACAGTTTGTCACACACGGTGATGTCATTAGCATTTCCCTGATGCATTGGCCTAACGGTGAAAGCGCGTCATTCATCGCCCATCCCGTGCGCAGTCCGCCCTACCTACAGCGTACTCGCAAAACATCTAAATGTTGTTTAGACAGCACGGCAATTCCCATCGGAATCTTTCATCACCCACACTTTCCCGCCAGCGGCAACGCGGGAGTTTTCAAGCTGTGGAAGCACATCTGGCCGGGGAAGAAGTGCGCAGACAAAACAAAAAACGCTAACCTCCCCTAATTTCCCAGGTTGTATTCGGCGAAGTCCGCCGAATTTGTACGTTTTTATTTGCGGCCGGGAAGGCACATTGCCTCACCATTCTCCCAGTCATAATGCTGTGAATAATCGCCATGGTTAGATGTAGAGAAATGCAGACTTTCAATTTGATATGCCACTTTTTATCATGTGGATGATTATCAACTGTATGGCTCTTCGTTTCCCTCCACCGCCTCCTCATAGGCATCCCTTCAACAACAATCCAACTTGATACTGGGGTGGAACACACCGCATGCTAACAGCTGAATATTTTAAAAAGCATACTAGTTTTCGCCTATCTAGAGGTGAATTCTGTTCAACCCCAACTCCCCACAATTTAAACCGATTTTGGTTCCTGCGCATGCATCACTCAGCCATGGTCTCATCCTGAACACATGCACAGTAAATGTATGGAAAATCCGCGTTGTTTTTGTGCATCACCACAGCCATCTACATATGTGATGCAGATTCCCTGCTGTGAATAGTATATCTTCTTGTCCGCTGTCTATGGTGATTTTGTTAACACCAAATGGTCACATAATACCATGCCACAATCCTTATTTGCTGCTCTTACTGACAATGACCTGTAGTCTTACAATGACAGGGATCTGTCACAAAAATAACTAAATTTTGAGTGTGTATCTGTCCTGTCTAACCCCGAAAAAAACAGAGCAAAATATAAATGCAAGAAATGTGTTACGGACACGATTACGGATGTGACTACGGACGTGTTTCGCTTCAGTTGGTTAGGCGCTCCTGCCTTTGATCAGTTCCAGCCTATCCCAGTCTGGTGTGGTAAAACCTGGAATAACTTTGACGTCCATTCCTTGTTTAAACCGGCGATTACTCTGGTCCTTCCAATTTTCATCTTATGTCCATCGCTCCAGTCATCGCCAGAATTGTACAGCCCCCCGACCATTAGCAGGTCTACGATTATCCTTCCAAAATTGATCTATTATCTCATCAGCAGTTTCTATCCCCATCACTTCACGGCGAGTTCGGTGGCTTCCAGATCTGACCATAGCCCATCCACACTTGACTAAAGGAGGAGTTCCTTCTCTGCTTGCTGGATTTGAGTGAACATCTCAGCATGGTAGACCACTCATCTACGATCCTGCACGGATCTGACGAGGAGACTGGAGTGGCTCAGCATGTAGCACCCAGCCAAATATTGCTGCCACCATGACGAGACAACCAACATATGCTACAAACTGACTGTGGGTGATGTGGGCTATTCTGTGATAGTGGTGACATGCCCCTCTTGTCTTATGTGCACATGAGAAGGTGTAATAGCAGCAAACAGATTATTCATTTGCAAACAAAGTGACTTGTGGAAGCTTGCACTGCAGTATTACTGACCTGTAATGTATGGCTACATAACTTTTTTATTTTACATAAAAATGCAAAGGTTATTTCTGCAACCATTGGTGCCATCCTAGCTTTCCTATCACATTTTCTACTATGCACTTTGCATCATACTGGTAGATATTCTAATAATAATCATGACCTTTTGTACCTGTTCTTGCAATGCAGGCTGTCACTGTGACAAGAAGCAAGACTCCAAGTGTGTTTAGTTCTGCATACAATTTGTATCAGGATACGTGCAACAACAAAAATGACCATGACCAGCATTAGCCCATTCCTTCAGCATGTCATCAGCCTTTTCCATAAAGTATCAGGGAGCTAGTCTTATGTGCTTACATCTAAAATGTTACTGAACCATGGTCACTCTCTAGGTTTCAGTTATAGTTTCCTGGATTTTCATTCTGCCCAAAGTCTAGGTCTAACATCCTGTCACTGAAATTTGTATGCCATTACATTATATTAACAGAATCACCACAGCACACAATAACCAGAATATCAGTTGCATGACTTAAGATTGTGATGTAAAATATGGTGACTCCTTTGGTATATTTTGTTGCCTTTACTTATTTTATTCAAATTATGCATGTCTTGTGTAATCCTGGCTTACTATAAGTGTTGCTCTATCCAAATTGACCAATTAAAAATGAGTGCATAAAGCCCATCAGCACAACAAATCATCTTGACTATTACTGCTCACAAAGCATGGACTCACAGTGAGGAAAACCTGCTGCTTGGCCACCTGTGCAGCTACAGATAAGCCAGTTCTGCTCCCAAACATGGAGTTTCACTATATTAACAAGAGGTACCTACCATCCTTCCCAATCTGAGATGCCAATAGTGATTTTTTGCTTCCATTCTTTTCAATCACATCTGTAAGGCTAAGTCCCAGCCTGAAAGTCTGCAAAAAATCCATGCACTGCAGTGAATGTCTATGTAACACCAGTGTGCTGAACCTCTCACTGGTGTGCATTTAATTCAGGGGAAGCCACATTGCACTGGATCTTTCCACTTTGGGGGGGCTGTGTTTGGATAATTTTTGCCTTTAATCCCCTTTGCAGCATCACAATTTCTTAACACAATTGCCCCTCTATGTGCTGAAACTGGTGGAGACAGTGCATTGCACTCTGGGTGTCCAGGTTTATGATGTAAATGCCCTGAAATTATTGCAGCAATGTCATTGCTATGATGGACATGTCTGGCATAACAGGTATTTCATGTGTGTGTGTGTGTGTGTGTGTGTGTGTGTGTGTGTGTGTGTGTGTCATCAGGGCTTAACAACACACTCAGCTGCTGAGGCTATATGGCATTGCCTGCCTTTCACCCTGGCTGGAACGGCAGGCACTGCAGGGAATCAACCCCTGTACCTCTGGTTTCCCAGACTTGTGGTGGTAAACACAGGTATGTTAACCACTACACTACCAGCACCCCTAACACATATTTCATCCCAGTCCGGATCTTAGTCCATGGCCAACCTACGATGTGCTCCTAGCTTTCCATTTATCACAAAGCAATCCAGTGTTAACTATTACAACTTATTTTTTGGAGCACATTGAATACTGATGATGGATAAGACAAACTGATCATGTCTAGTCAACTGACAAGAAATGTGACTTAGCATAATGTGACACACAAAATGATAAGAGGTAAGCACAATTGAATCCTCATGTAATTGAGCAATAGTTACAACACAATTTACACACATTTTCACCCAATAATGTAACTGACAGCCAACCTGCATTTACATGCGCAGTCGGCTGACTGAGCAATCCAGGCAGATTTGAGCAAGATTATGCTGCAGATGAAGTCTTACATTAGAATACCCCTGTTATTGCTGCAAGGATGCAGGGAGTAGTAGCAAGACACGTGCAAGCTTATTCACCCACATTTGCACTGCAAACCAGCTGAGCAAAGTAGTACGAGCAGGTAGGCGCGCGGGAAGCGATCTACGTGTCTAATTAGGAGCTACTTACTCGCCTTCTGACGTTCCTCGCGTCAGCCAAACGAAGAAAGTAAACTTAAATGGCTTAAAACAGCCTACGGACGCCTGCTGAGTATTGCACAAACTATTACGGCACACGCCTCCCCGCAGCCACGTTCCTCTTACAGCTCTGACTGTTAGTGTGATCTCAAAGTGCCTGATCATGATTATGTTGTACTTCCGCAAAATGAGGACGAACCGCTCGCGTTTGTCTCAAACGTGTGTGCCATATTGCTACCAAATATAGATAATTTTTGCACCATGGATTGCGCCAATGACCAATATTGCTGATTTCCCGCCTCCAGTGAAACCGTCTCCAATCCCGGAGACCATCAGTCTGATTGGCTTGGATTTTGAATCAATCATCTCGTAGCATAGTTTTTTTCTGTAAACCTTAACCTGGCGAACTCAGGTCACCATGGCCGCGGATCCTTCCAGCTTGAACAGCCTCGGATGGCGACGCAGCTGTCTGCAGCAGCACCAGCATCAGCGTCGTCAATAACATCAAACAGCTGAGTTGGAGGAGCAAATACTAGGTTTTACCAAAATGAGAGGGGCTGCTTTCTCCTCTGGTTAACCGGTCCTTGTTCGCAGTCGCTTAGCCAAACACCGATCGTTTCCAATGTCCAGCTAAAGGTGAATGCCGCCTCCCTGCACCATTTCAATCACCGGCCTTCATGCATGGAGTTTCCCACGTGTGTATACTTAAAAGTGGCAACAAGCCGGTTTGGATACGCACTAAACATGGGACTCTTTAGCATGGGTGGTGAAAGGAAGCTTAAGAAATATCGGGTAGACCTAAAGAAAGGCCGGAGAACGTATCGGAGTCGTCTTCGCATGTGTTTTTAATTTCATAAGAAGGATGCATCTTGTGTTTTATGGGAGGAGTGAGAGGACCAATAAGGAGAGAGTGGCTGGAAACCTCAGGTAATAAAGCCAGACCTGGCTTCATTCAGAGCTGTCTGGACACCTCCGCGAACCCATGCAAAGGAATCCGGTCAATGTTTCATTGTTTCTGTAGCCTTGGGCCGATGCATTTGGAAGGTATGCCTTTCATGAGAGATGTTGTAGCATCTGGATGTTTTTACTGAGCGCGTGTTATGTTTACCCCGGATGTGTACACATTTTGGGTACATTATCAGCCAAATAAACCGGACTAAACGGTATGCATTTTTCATGACGCATGACATGTAAGTTGATGTAAAAATTAAGTATGCGTTGGCAGAGGTCGGGCATGTTGCTCAGCATGCTGCATTCTTCAGCCTGTAAATATGTTCAACGCGTATAATTAGCACAGCTTTCAAGGAATCGCACCTCTTGCTACCAAAGGTTGGAAACAGTGGCAGTCAGTGGCTGCAAAATCAGCTGCTGTACATAAAGCACAGCAACTGGGTCTGGCCGCCCGAGTAGGATATTGTGTCACTACTACAGTAAGACTCGCTTGGCTTGCGCTATTGCACGAAGAGTCTTAACCCTTTGCATGATCCAACACCCTATCATAGGCAGGTCCTGGGGGGGGGGGGGGCACGGGGCCATGCCCCCCCCCAAAATGACCCCAAACAAAACATGGAGAGTGTGTTTTGCCCCCCCCCCCAAAACAAAACATTCCCAGAACTTCATAAAAGTTTCGTCTACTTACCGTCTGTTTTAACTTGAATGTTTTAACTGTTCTGTTTTAGCTTCTGTTTAAGATTCAAAAGCATTTCGTTGTTTGAATGGTGTCCCTACTAGGTACTCGCGAGAGGCACCATGCACTGGACCTCGGATCCCCCACAAGTCAGGTGGCGACAAACTGTTGCCTCCCCCCCCCAAAAAAAAACTCCAGGCTAGACCCGCCCCCGCACCCTACGTCACATGGTAGTAGGCACAGGTAAGTCAAGCGCTTTAGTCGCACTTGTTCTGGCTGGACAGAAAGCAATCAATTTTCTTGGTGCAGGCCCCAAAACGCATACAACACCATTGCATCTGAACGAGAGAAATGGTGTCGTGTGAGCCGAAAGCATGGAAATTTACACCCTTTACTAGCATCAAGGCAAGGCTTGGCTACTTGTGCCTCCCGCTCAGCTTCCTGGCAGCAAAGTTGTACTACTGCCCGGAAAGAATCGAATTTGTACGCACCAAGTCTCCCCAACGCCTTAATCACCGCACTATCGATTGCTCCCGGCATGCCTGCGCAGGACCACCGAGCGCTTCTGAACTTCTGATGGATTCAGACATACTCACAAGGCCACATCAGGTGCGCGGCACTCCTTGCCGGGATCAGAACAGCGTCAAAAGAGCACTTCAACAGGCTTTGCGTGTGGCGGACAGCACAAGCTGGCGAAGCTTTCGGCATCAAGCCGGACTCTCGTCTGCCGCTTTGAACCAACAATCCGCATAAGCTGAGGCGTGCTGCAGCTGAACCACCGCGCTAGCGCGCCACCGCCTTCACATCCGCGTCACTTCTGCGGATCGGTGCCGAGGCGCGCTCGAGTGCCATGCCCGGGAAGCGTCCGCCGAGCCGGCGGCGCGGGGCTCGGCGCGGTCCGAGCATGAGCCCCGGGCACCAGAAGCGGCCCAGCAGCGCCGCGGAGCGCAGGCCGCGCAGGGCGAGCGTGCCGCCGATCGGAGCCGGCCTCGACCGAGGCCTCGCCACCGGCGGCGCGCTCCGCCGCTCTCCAGCAGGCCGCGTCAGCCGCCGGCGGCGGCGACGGCGCGGCGGCCATGGCGAACGCGGCGCGCGTGATCGGCGGCCTGGTCGTGTCGGTCAACTCGGCCGTGCCCGTGATGGCGATCGTCAGCTCGCGGCGGCTGCGCGCCCGCGCCATGTACCAGACGATCGCCAACCACGCGGCGGCGGAGACGCTGATGGGCCTGCTGATGAGCCTGTCCGGCATTCCGCTGCTTCTCGGCGTGCGCGTGCCCACGGCGCTGTGCAGCACCTTCTTCGCGCTCGTGCCGTCCATGGTGACGGCATCGATGGTGGCGCTGACCTGCCTCTGCCTGGAACGCTACGTGGCCGTCATCCACGGCCTGCGCTACTTCCAGGTGCTGAGCAGCCGGCGGCGCAGGCTGCTGCTGCTGCTGCCGTGGGTGGGCGCCGCGCTGGCCTGCGCCTACTGCGTCGGTGTGCTCACGCAGGCCGACGCCAGCCACGATTGCCGGCTGGAGGACGTGCCCAAGGTCATCTTCCTGGTGCTGGACTCGGTCGACCTGCTGCTCTGCCTCGTTATCATGGCCATCAATACGATGGTGGGTCTGCAGGCGGTACGGCATCGGCGGGATATTCAGCGGCAGCGCCGCGAGGCCGGCGCCGCCGCCGCCCGCCACATGGACAAGTATCGAAGCTACAAGGCTATCCTCGGCGTCGTCAGCTTCTACACGCTCTTCCTCGTGCCGAACGACATCTCGTCCGTCATCACCTTCTTCAGGGACGACCCGCACCTGCAGAACATCAAGAGTTTCGCCATGTTCATGCGGAGGAATTTGTTCATCCTGGACGGCTGGATGTTCGGCTTCTTTTGCGCGGACCTGAAGGACCGGTACCGCCAACTGTTCTGCGGCGCCTGCTGCAGCCGAACGCCGGTGGAAGCGCTGCCGGCTCGCCCGGTGCCGCGCGAGGCCGGGCCCGCGTCGCCGCCACCGCCGCGCCATACCTCACCACCACCGCGCCGGAGTGCGCCGCCCACAGTCTCAGCCGCCGTGTCCGCCGCTCAGGCAGGACTGCCACCCCTCGCGGCTGTGGAAGGGTAGTCCGCTCCAGCTGAAAACACCCACGTGAACGCCTCACAAACTTGGCTCCCCTCGGCGCCGCTGAACTGGTCGCCGGTTTTCGGTGAGACAGCGTCTCTGCGCAGTCTTAACCAGCCGAACTCGGGCTGGTCGTTGACGCTTAGTGAAGCGTCGTCACACCGTAACCCTAGTCAGCACCGTACTCAGCGCCAGCCACGCTGTGCCGGGACCCCGCCTGGTGGAGTGGTGTCCTTGGCTAAGTCCCTCCGGTGTCAGGGTAGGATGGCACGTCTCGATGTGAACCATGGTCGAGGATCTGCGCCGGCGGCAGAGTGGGTGCGTCGCTCTCCAATGCGAGGCGGATCGACTGCCGTTAAGCACATGTTGATAGGAAATACAGCGTGTGAGAGTCAAAGGGAAGGCTGAGAGCGGAGGGGAATTCAAGAACAGGAGATGAGACGTGACATGTGGATGTCATGGGGTGCACTCGGTCCCGGGTCATGGAAGCCGACTCAATACGACATGGCTGACGTCCGAGACCGGAACGATTTCGTAGCCGATTTGTGTTTCGGGGGGAATCGTGGGACAGCAAAAGCGCATGTCATGTTACACATTTATTGACAAAATTGCATTGCACTGAAAATACATGATCAACCGCCCAAACAACCCAGAATAATAATCGCGGAAAAAGCACCACATCACGGTTTATACCTACTTGGTAATGACCATCACCTTTTTAGTCGGCAGTGATTGCAGACGACGAAATACGCTTTGTCTACATTTCAACACCAGATGTCACAGTGTAGGACAATACGACGGCGCCAGTGGACGGTAGGCCGACTGCTGCGACTGTGCCGCCTCAGGTCAACGTATTTTCCAGGTTCACCAGGTTGAAGACGCATTTCGGCCGCATGATACGTGGGTCTTCGTGACGAAACATGACGGGGACTTAACTGCAGTTGACTGAGGGCGCATGCTAACCGCAGGTGGGGAAAATCTGAAAAATAAAACCGTTCGCACGAGCACGCAACTCGATTATGACAGGCTCGGCATCATGGTAGACAAACAGCGATCCTACCAGACGGCACGTTGGTGCGATAAAACGCCGTCTCCAGCAACGATTCAAAGGCGTGCGCCATCTGACCCATGCGTCCCATTACACGTGGGGCATCGGCTGCCTCCCGTTCCCGTTGCATCACCAAACGTTCACCATCACAATCTGTTGCCAACCTTAAGGTAACACCTTAGACAGGAGCAGCCAAACAGATAGACAAGCCAAAACGCGCACTCCGTGTTTCCTTCTGTTGCTCACAGGTACAGCCACCGGTCCTTCGCGTGCAGCCGTACATCTGCAGCCTGATGGGCCAAGACCGGCCGAGACCACCTGCGCAGCTCGCTGTTAAACACACCCAGTTTTCCAGGCGCGACCGCGCTCGTGCTGCAGGCACTGTCCAGTCCCGTCTACGCGTGTCGTCAATGGGACGGAATAGCGCCGACTGCGACAGGAAGTGTTATCGACCGCAGGGCAGACGGCACAGCCGGTCCTCGCCCGTCACCCTGACCGGAAGGCGGACCCCCGACCTCGGCTACTTCCTCCAACCAGCGCGCGCCACTGCCACCGCGAGGGATTCCCAGACCTGGGTCACCTCCTCCTGTCACCTCACTGTCACCCTGACTTGCGCACGTCCCAGATCCGGTCCCATCCCCCTCTTCCGGCAGCCAGAGACGCGGCACGGTACGCGATCTGTCTGTGACGTCACGCCCTGGCGTCCTACCTCGACGTCAGTCCGCCGGCGCCGGTCGGGATCCGTCGCCTCAGCTGGGCCGGCTCGACCACGTCCCCCCCCCCCCCCCACGTTCCCGCTCAGGATTTCTGTGATGTCTCGGGCGTCAGCGATATGAGCGAGTTGCTGTTCTCCACCAGGTCGGCGAGCGAGACGCGGCCACGCTGGCGGATGAACTTGGCCACCGCCTCCAGCTCCGACGTCGGGATGTAGATGAACTTGCCCCTGTCGTCGATGACGCCTGCACGCGGCGGAGGCGAGGTCACCGTCAGGGCAGCGCCACATGACCAACACCTTCACGGCGACGGCACACGGATGAATGCGTGTCACGTGATTACGAATTAAGAGTACGACATCTTGCGTACGACACCCAACCAAACCCGCCTGAACACGTGTGCACAGTTTCTGTGCTTTCACCTGGCTCACAGGGTCTCTCTCCCAAACATGGCCTGGATGCCGAGCACACGCAGCCTGCGTGGCAGATGAGAGCGGCCAGGACATCTCAGACGACAATCGGGAACGATACAGAGTTGTAGTGAGCATGCGGAATCGGACGCAGGCCTGCAGGTTTTGTTTCAATGGCCCACGAAAATGTAGGCCGCAGGTTGTCTTGACCTTTTATTTTGGCTATTTTCGTGTCAGGTCACCGACTCTTGACTTCATTTTCAAACAAGCCACACAAATTTCGCTCAGTTAACACCTTACCATTATGTAAAAAATTGTCGAATGACTCCGCCACTTAATCCCTAAAAACTTAGACGGCAACTGTAAAATATATGACGAAGTGTTTTCTAAAGAAAATATAGCACCCGAAGATAGAGGACAAGTCCTACTTAGCCGTTCACCTGGTCTTTAAAAAGCACTCGACTGTCAACAGATGCAGTATCGTACAAACAGTTTAAATGAATGGTATTAGAGGATTTGTTTCCAAAGAATAGATTCCCTCCAATGTTTACTATTACCAATACCGCTACGAGCTGCCTGACAGGTCGTCGCCTGCTGAATACACCCACCTGACAGCGTGCCGTCCGACATCAGCGTCTGCAGCCGATCAATGGCGTCTTGCGTCTTCAGACCAAACTGGGCGCCCAGGTCCTCCAAGAGCACCACCTTCACGCTCTGAGAGCAACGCGGTAGTGCAATTAAAACGAGTGTGACACATTTCTATGAGCTTTTAAACTGAAAGAGTCACCTTGAAAACCATTCGGTGCAGTTCAAAGCCCTGTCCTTCTTAAGACCTAAACCCCTTAAGTTTCTGATTTATACACCCACGAAGATGGGGAGGCTTTTTCGGGAGAACATTTCAAGGTCACCTGGACATTCATAACGTCACACACACACGCACGCACGCACGCACGCACGCACACACACACACACACACACACACACACACACACACACACACACACACACACACACACACACACACACACACACACACACACACACACACACATATATGTATATGTATATATATATATATATATATATATATATATATATATATCAAGGTGATAATATATATATATATATATATATATATATATATACATATATATATATAATCATAATAATATATACACATATATATATAATCATAATAATATCACCTTGATATATATATATATATATATATATATATATATATATATATATATATATATATATATATATATATATATATATATATGGTGATAGCGATGCCAAAATGTTCTCTGGAAATCGAAGCATACATAAGTCATGGCACATGCTAGGGGATGGGGGAACCAACGCGTGCTGGATTTCGGTGCAAGCAAGGCTACTAGAGAAGGCTGCGCAGACGTGACGGCGCCATGGGACTGAAGTTTGGTAGCCGTAGTATGGTTTTCTGATACTACGCAAAGGCTGGTAGATACTAATAACTAATGGCCTGGCCCATGAACTGAGTAACCACCCTGTTCTACATCTTCATTTCAATGGTATGTCAATAGGTATTGTCAATTTTGCATTCAAAACCTTCTTGAGACAAATCAGTGCTACGATCTGCTTTTTAAAAAATAGATCGTTCTAGACCACGTTTTCTAGATTCGGTGCTCGCGCCACAATCGTTGCAGTCAACGTGCCTGAACATTTATATGTACCACTCCATAATGAAAATATACGTTTATCCGTACATAATTGGATATCATGTCTAATGTTCACATTTAAGTTATAAACGGGCAATAATTGTCCATTTATATTAGTAATCCAGTACCTAGATGGAGTGAGATGTGAAAATAAAATAATGTGAGGAGGGCAGCTGCCAAAAATTTCACTGTTTCTTTACTATGGTCTTGCTAGTCGTTAGTTAACCTGCAGATCCATAACGTCGGATGGGCTAGGTGAAAAAGGTAAGAAGGGAAAAATACCGAATAACCTCATATATCCCCAACACTATTTCTCAGCTGAGATACGGACCACCACTCTTTGACTGGCAGAAACTGCAAAACCTGCCAGAAATCGTCCCATTTTACAGGAAAATCTGCTGTCTTGAACTAAAGTAGCGCGCTCTGCATTTACGCCTCCCGGGGTTCACCTCTCACCGCCTCCACTAGGGCAAGCTAACCCTGTATCCACCCCGGCCACGCCCCTCACAAGGCTACAGGATGTGCATTTTAACTTTTCAATGCGCGTTCCAGAGTGCTGCAAGCCCGCCTGGGCCGCCATTTCTCATCTCCACGCTATGCTGTTGTATGTTGTACTCTTTGACACACACTGTTTCTAAGCATTTCCGGCTACACTTCTCTGGGATAAATCGCTGGTGAATGGGTGAATGGGTTACCCTATCTCCCTGCCGGGGCAGACTGGTAGCGCATATCAGCAATAATCTTGTGGCTCTGTTGCAAAACAATGTCATTTCCCAGCTGAAAATGCTTCATTGAATGTGTTAGGTCAAAAAAATAGGTTTATGGAAATATCTATGTTTAAACCAGCCCGCAAAAAAACAGCGTTTTCACGCGGCCGTAGCATTGGTGCTATATGACTTAGTCCCATGACATCACAGCATCGCTACACAGAATGCAGTAATGCGGGGGCTTGGGCACAACAAGCTATCATACACATCATAAAACGTCGATTTCAGTTCTGTTAGAGCTCTTATCAGCCTCGCCGATTAGCAGCGGCGGCGCGCCAATCCACACTCGCCCTGGTGCGCGAGGGCGCCTCCGCCAAACCGTCCGAACGCTAGGCGGCTTGGCCCGCCAGCCAAAGGCCTACCTTGATGTAGTTGATGAACTCCTGCAGTTTGCTCTCCTTCTCGTCCTCGAGCTCTTCGTCGAAGCCCTCCTCGTCCACACCGAAGGCCTCCTTCAGCTTGATGTACTCTTCGTGTTCCTGCCGCTCGCGCTCCTCGCGCGCCAGCCGCTCCGCCTCCTCACGCGCCTGCTCCTGCTCCTCCTCGAGCTTCTCCTGCTCCCTGCGCTCCTGTTCATCCTGCTCCTGGCGCTTCTTTCGTTCCTCGCGCTCCTTCTCTTCCGCCTGGGGTTCGGCCAAACGTCATCCCGCTAGGAACGGTCCAGGCGAACTCATTGCCTGATTCGTTACAGAAAATTCGGTTGTAACGACGAAATAAATACATCAGCTCTAGTGTGGTTCTTACGGCAACCCCCTTACTGCAAACATAGATGACAGAACGAGCTTGGCGAAGATGGAGTGGCCGTGCTGAAAAACGCAACAGCCGGCGAAGCAGCGGGGTCCAAGTAACAAGACGCAAAGCAAAGCTGTTACACCTGAACATGGTGGCTATGCGCCTTTTGGCACGGATGCGAAGAGCATGCTTCTCACCTCTCTCTGTGCCTTTTTCTCTGCCTTCGCCTCGAGCTTGGCCAGCTTCTTTTTCCCGACTTTACCCTCGGGCGCATCGATCGGGTCGCGGGCGCCGCCGTCCGAGTCCTCTGACTCCTCCCCTGCTGCGGAAGTGCGGACGGGACCGTAACACCACCACAATCGGGGCGGGAACACAGAGATCAGAAAGCAACGACAAGGACGGGGCTTCTGAAGCTCTTGCTCCACGAAGGTTTTGTTCTTGAAAAGGGATGCTTGCAGCCGAGAAAATGGAGGCAGAGTAGCTTTATTAGTAAGTTTTTAGTTTCCCACGTTTCCTATAACAAACATATATTTTAGGACATATTGGCTTCAGGGAATATCTCACGGTTTTCATTATTTCTCATCTCGAAAAAACAATTGGCATTGCCACAATGGTCTGTTTGTGAGAGCGTCGATTACGGTCAAACAGCAGTTGGCGGATGTCATGATCACAAAGCGTGCTCAGGTCTGCCTGCTATGCATCTTCAAAAAACGTTCAAACCCCACCAATAATAACAGGATTGCATCGCGCAAACATTTGAAACGCTCGCAAGCATTGCAAGCAACATTACAATACAAATTTGGTGGACCATAACAGCAAGCTTTCAAATAACATAAATGAGAGGGAGAAAACAACATTAAGATATGACGAGCAAGCATAAGTGTGCAATACGAATGTCACACCACAGCCAGATGACGGTATTAATCATGCAGCAAACTCCCTAGGCAGTCAGCCCACTGTTTCAAGACGTACCGCCCATCCTCATGCGGTTACGGTTGCGTGCCGTGGCCGCCCGTCGCGCCGGCTGCACCACAGCGCCAGCGCCCCTCGCGTCCGTGTCGCGAACTCGAGCTCCATGGCCAGGTGGCTCTGCTGGGCAAAGGGGGGCATCCTCACAGAATCTGATCAGGCATCATGACAGGTTGCTTGAGCATTGGCAGGAGCAGACTCTTAGTTGAATTTGCTCCAAGAGGATGTGACTCTGTTCCTGATCCATAGTTAGTCCTGACAATAACTAAAAATGCTGTCCTGCAGTTTAATATTAAGTCCCTGGTATGCATGGTCCAGATTTCTAAAAACCATCTATAGCAAAGCTTGTGTGAGTGGCACAGATTAATAATGCATGGCCTAGTTTATTGGTTGCATGGTGCCCATAAATATAATAAATGTAGTCACAATGTGTTAGGGGAATAGAAACACCTAAAAATAAGTGAGCCAAAGGGTTTTAAAATATATTTGTTCCCATAGCTTATCATAAAGCTGATGTCCAGCAATGGCAAAAGAGAAACACAGGCTTCCTGGCTATGCATAGCACACATTTACCATGGTCAAAAATTAAGTTATAAAAAGTCAAAACCTTCTTGGCTCTGGAATTGTGAAATAATGATTTTATGTTCAGATTTCAAACACAAAAAAATCTAAAACATTTGAGATTTTGCTAGCTTTGTCTTCATCTTCTTTTGATTTACCACCCCATGGACTGTGCCTGTCAATAATTTAGAAAAAACATAATTAAGAGGAAACTCAATAAAAACTTATTGTAGCTTTTTAGTTAAATGAATATGTTTTTAGAAATCAGTTCTGCAGGGAAATTTCCCTGGTGCTTTCATAGTGGCATGCGACTGTGTCTCATAAGCACATTTGGGTAAATACTCTGGCACCAATGAGCCACTATTCAAGAGCTTACACACATCACCTTCTCAAATCAATGTATGTAACATACATTCACATCTCAACTATCCGTGTTCAATTTCACACACTACATAGTCAGTCAGGCCAGTGGGCACTGGCCTTCCTATTTAATCTTATTAGTTCATCACCCTTACAGGAAATACTGAAAAACCCTTCCAGCTACCCCAAACAAGGTGAGTTATGAAAAGCAAAACTTGCTAATTAAATTAAGGTGTATTGGAATTGAGACAGCATTTAAGCACTTCTTACATGTAGCAGCACTAAGACAAACCACCGCATTCAGCATGACAGAAGTAAATGTGGTCCCTAACACATGGTTGATGGCAGATGCATATTCAGCTTCTTTAAAGTTATACATGTAAGTATTGTTGATGAACACAAATGAACATAATTGGTATCAAATTTGCTGTAACTGCATGCCTTGACCAATACAACTCACTAAACCACAGAATGGTGTTCTCCCGAAAACTAGGGTATTTTTCGCTAGGGGTTCCTTGAACTCTTTTGCCTTGCTTGCCTCCCACAAAATATACACGCAACATAACAAGAAACGAGCTTACCTGTTTGTCTTGACTTGATCAACGCCAAAATGAAGATGAGGATGGTCAGAAGCGGAGCAAGCACAAGTAAGATACTTAGGGGATTCATAGTAAACAAAATATGGTGCCGTTTACTTAGCGCCCTGGGATTTTGCCACTACGTGTACGTCCCTGCCGCTGACGTCGTTCCCCAAAAACAGCTGCCGCCGCTGCGACCAAAAATTTGCTGTCGAAACATGTACGCCACTTTCCTTTTCACTCAGGGCAACCAAATTATTGTACCCCAAGACATCCTAGTATATAGCCGTAAAACTGTTTTTTTTTTACAATGCCCTGCATGTCTATGTTTGTGATGCACAAACGCTTCCTTTTCCACCATGGAGACTATACGGCCTTTGTGGAGAACCTCGTTCAATGGTCATTGCCCATCTGTAATGTCTCCATCGCGTGAATTCTATGTTTTCCTGCATAGCATGCGTGACGACGATCGCGAAATAAAAATGTATTCCTTCTCGTCTCTTCCTGCTCGTCGACAGGAGGGAAGCAGAATTTCAATAAAGTGGAGACCATGTGACTTGCTGTAGAAAATTGTGAATTAAGTTTATCTAGTAGAACCTCACTTCACATATTGCTATCTCCTCAGCTTTGAATCGGAATATATTACTTGCCATCAACAACCACTGTGTCGCAATATTTTCATATTTGCTGCGACGAGCCCCAGACGTTCAATTGCGATCCTATCAGTGAACCAAGGCATGATGAGACTTGGACCACGTTCGAAGCGTCATGTTTGAGTTTCAATCCCAAATACGGGTTCATAATGTAAGCAGACCTGTTCTGTTCTGACCTCTAAGAAGTCCATGAAAGATGTATAATGCGGTTCCTGCTATCAATAAATTTGAAAAGAGCACCGGAAACTATCACATACAGTAAGCCCTACAGTAATAAAACAGGTTGGTTTTGACCTTGGTCTGACCTTCATATCTGAGCTTAAGTCAACGTAATTCTCTCATCCAATAGCTGTGTTGCTGAAGAAAGCATCTCAGAGATGTATCGCTTCGTGTAACACTCCGTTGTTGCATCAGACTGAATGATTCCTTAGAAATTGGCCGCTGAAACCATGGCCTGGCTTTGACCTGTCATAGGCCAGCGACCTTACAACATAAATCTAAATTTTTGATTCCAGACGATCCGCTTTTCAGTTGTGTATAACGATAGCAAATTTGGCGCTGCTACAACTACGCCGTTCGGAAACCATTTTGGAAAAACCTTCGGGGCGATCAATTTGACCTCCACCCGAGCGCGTGTCAATATCGGACCAGCATATTGAAGTCCAGTGACGCTGCCCGGTCCAGGGCTTCCCGGGACACTAGCTCATTATAGTACTTCAGATATTTTATTAGAAGAAGGCTTGAGCACTTGTCTGTTGTTAACGCAAAACCTTCGTTCGCATAGCTCTTCACGTTTGGCATTTGTAGCCACATTGACACGTCACGCATTCTATTCTACATTCTACGGCTTTGCCAATCGTTTGTTTATTCCAGGCATCTAAGCCATATAAAACTGTTTAACCATGACAAAACAACTTGTGAATTTTAATATCTCGGTTTTGGTGCCCATGGCCTGAACCATGCTCACTTGTACAACATTGGGTTCCATCTCAAGGAATACTTGCAGGTGTTTGGCTTCAGAAATCTCCCGTGCAACTGCATGGCCTTGAACATCTAAGGGCCCCATGACGCATTCAGGCCTGTTTCCGTTTCTCGTGCCAGCAAATCGCTTCGATGACCTGTGAGCATTCCATTAAATCGCCCCGATGACCTGTGAGCACGCCTTTAAGTGACCTCAATGATCTGTGAACGTTTCGGGGAAGGTCCGTGTGCCGACGCGGAATTCATGATTTTCCGGATTCCTGACTGATTCATGATTCACCAGCCTGCTATTGGGAGTCTGTCTTCTACTGGTGTGAGTCTGTAAGGCATTAGGGCCACCTGGCCACTAAAGAGCGCTTATTGGATGGCTTCTTCATCTGCAACCTCCATTTACATCCCAGTACCTGTTTTGGGGATGCTGAATGGATTCGCTGAACTGGCCAGGGCGCACACTAAGTCTTCATTTGCCCCTCGATTTGTTTAAGGATTTCGTACCCTCCCTAAACCTTCCGAATTTCTTCTTAGAATGTTGGCATCCAAAAAAATTGTAATGCTTGTGCGGAGAAATTCGGGATGAGTGTAACCATTCCTTCGGTTTGCATTTCGGTCGATGTGTACATCTTTATGAAACAAGAAATCACGGGAAAGTACCTATTTTTGCGCGGAACATCGAACTATTCAGCGTACCGTCTGGGCTTAAGGATCCCTGAATCAAAGCAACTGATTAAGACGTACAGACAGACAACACGCACTGAACACGAAAACACAGGACGAGTGCATATCTGCACATACGGATATCATGCATCGTTTCTGACGGATCCGAAATGTGTTGACAATTCTGGGAGTTATTGGCAGATACAGTCGCTGGTATCGGCAGGCACGGCTTTAATGTCGAACGCAACCGTGGAGGAACAACTGCAGGTGCGGGCATGACCCGGGGTTTGTTAACCACTTATTTGTTTTTGTAACCTCAACGATGCTGGCAGCGCGTAGGTGCTTTGGAATCATAATCACACTTAGAAAAGTATACATAATAAGTGAAGTGATCTAATTTAACGCAGAATTTAAAATAAGTATAGTATGTATGACCTGATTTTACCTGAACGGAATAGACCTGCGGCCCCAAAGATGCACACTAAATATAGTTTGTCGTGGCCCAATTATAAAAATTGATACCTCATACGTCATAAGAGTTCGGTGTGATGCAGCCTGTGATGTTTCCAAGTTCGTCAAGGTCCTGACGGTTTTGCTTCTCTTTCTTCCCACGAATTCTTTTTTTCCCAACAACGAATTTTTGGAGGACTTCCCTGGCACCTGTATATACTTCCCTGGCACTGTGCTTTTATTCAAAAATCGTGTTAGTTCCAAAAACAGGCAATCAAGATGGCAGAAAACCAATGCTATCATTTTTAAAAATTAGCTTTACCTGCAGAAAATGGCATTTCAAAACACGTGATATGGGTGCCGATCCATATTGATTTGTAATGTTCCTGCCCGTCCCTCCCCCCCCCCCCCGCCGCTCCCACGCCATATTGGCTTTGGGTCAATAATGCACGGAACAAATGTAAAAGATCAGCCCCAAGGCAAAGTGGACTCACTCGGTTGAAAGACACATATTCGTAAATATTTTTGGCACTCGCCCCCCCCCCCCCCCCACTTCTCCCCCGCCAGGAGCGCAGCCAGGAATTTCTAAAGGGTGGGAACTCGGTGAGAGCGCATCACTCCGATCTTAACGTTCTGTCGGGGGCAATCTACGGATATTTTTAATACAGGCCAACGGAGGAGGAGACACCCCCCCCCCCTTCCTTCTGGCCGCGCTCTTGCCCCTACCGTCCCCCCCCCCCCCCCACCCACCCACCCACCATTTTGTTCTGGCGGGACTGGTGCTTATTTTCACGATGCGCCGCAGCACACCTCACAAGCTTCGATGGATCAGGTATGAGCTCCACAAGCATGACGTAAGAATCCGTGAGCCACGGAAAAAGAGTGGTGTATTAGCAGCAGTGCCAAGACGATAAGCACATTTAGGGAGCTGCACCGCGTTGGAAGGCACACATCACGCTGCCGCCTGTGTAGAGAGGGGGAGGGGTCTCCATGTGCGGCCGCAACGTGCATTCATGGTGCCCATGATGCTGCTGAGGATATTGTGTTTCTGTATGGGTGCACTGCACCATTGCAAGCATACCATAGCTATCAACGTGTGGGGGCTTTTTGTGCCTCGTTGATGTACGTGCACGTGTGCATTTCTCTTTGCTTAAGTGCTGAGCCTCGGTGCTCTTATCACAAATACATTGGGCCGTGGAGGCAAATAATTGTTTTCGGCACGATCATTGATAGCTAAGGGCGGTAGCACGGCTTGAGCAGCAACGCACGTAAGACAATATAATTTTTCAGCATGATCGTCGACAGTTATGGGAGAGCAGCGCGACTTGAACAGAAACGCATAAGACATAGCACAAACGTTTAATATTACGTAAGCTATTATGTGCTTTTGCGAGGAACGTTATGCATGTAGATATGACAGTGTTGGTAGCCTTACTCCTTGTAATGACCAGGAGAAAGGGGAGATGGATGCATCAATGCATTTATCTTATCTTTCTCCCAGCCATTCTACGAGAAATGAGGCTACCAGTACTGTCTTACCTTAAACTGTTTAATAGGATGTAAACGGTTTAGAAAGGCCGGCAAACATGATACCCTGGCCGTGCCACTGTTAAAGTCGGATACGGTTTTTCTGAGTTGAAGTGTCTGGACCGCCTAGCAGCTTTTCCAGGCGGTCATGTGAAGCACTGATGACGCATCATGGTTCGTGCATATTCACTACTTCAAAGGACATCACCGCGGATTGGGCAGAAAGCAGTAAAGACCTTCATCACATGCGAAACGAATTAGCGGTGGCAATGTTTGTCATGCTGCAGCATCTGAAAGTTAGATTTACAAAGCGTTATGAGTTTGGAGCTATGTGCAGACAGTTGGCATTCAAGACACCAGGAAGTACTGATTGAGTGGCGTTATCAAGCAAACATTGGACATTCTTTTCAAAACTCGGCTTTTCAAACTGCCCTTACAGTCAGCAGGATTTATTGCGCTGTCCAAGAGCTTTCTTGTTAATAGCGGGTGTTAAAACCAGTTTTGTTAGGAAGATAAAATCCACTCATATCATAATCTCAGTAGCACGAAGATGACTTAATAACCACGAAACAACTTCCGCTGATACTTGCTCCATGTAGCGCTGAAAATAATTTCCGAAAACCGAAGTTATTCCGGAAAGCCTACGTTAAGGAAATGTCCACCTTAAAGATGTTGAAACGATCATCATATATGACGAAATAATCCAACTTATAACTATTGTTATGCTCTTAAATGGCAAAGACTGCTTTAGGTTACATACTTTTCCTGTTTAGTAAATGTGTTCTCCAAAGTGTTATTGTTTGATTACGTCACCATACCTTGCATGGCCTTGATCGATGGCCAATTAATGGCCGTTATGTCTCAAAATCGTGCCTACGAACGCCAGATATGAACGACTCAACAATCATGCTTTGCTTGGTCTTAATCGCCACATGGCCA